TGACCTGCGATTTAGAATTATATACGAAGGGCTGAGTTCAAAAAATCATCAGTGGATCAACGATTTGTGGGTGTCGGTAAATCACGCACCGTCTGGCTACACGAATCGAACGTATAGTCGATCCCTGTGGCAGGGTTTCCATCCTTATTGAGGAACCCGGCTTGTATCAAACCCCAGAAATCGAAGACGCCACCGACGTCGCTAGAACTTCCACACACGCCGATACTGCCTGCCGTGGAATCCCACTTGTCTCCTCCGGGCTGTTGAGATCTGTCGAAGGGCACGTAGGGTCTGATCCTGTGAGTCGTCGGGTTGTATGCGTTTTTCTTCTCTACAAGTAGGAATGTCCATATGATGCGACGCCAAGGATAATCTTCTCCTGTGGAAAGCCTGCGGCGGTCCAAGCCTTGACAGCTGACTTTGCAGAACCTTGGGGCGATGGTGCACACGAGTCATCCAAGGGTGCATTTGGACCGACGGAGGATGACCATGAGCCCCAGATATCATAGTTCATAATCTCTAAATATGGTATTAGAGAACGTTGCGCGAACCGATAGGGGGAAGCGAACCAATATTGTTGAGAACCTTCCCAAACTCGGAGACATCCGACATTGGTTGACCATTCGAGCCCACGAAGGGGGTTATTGAGACGGCAGCGGATATAATAAGATCTTTCGCACCCTCCTGGCTGCGAAGTATTTGCAGAAATGAGAGGAAGTTGGCGCTATCGTCCTTTGAGACGACATTGCAACCGATTGCTTGCCGGCCAGGATACTCCCAGCTATGGTTCAAATGAGCAAAACCAAACTCAGAAAGATATAAAGGACAATCGCACTCAAAATCAATACCCTCCAGACGGTACTGCGAAACAGTACGCATGATCGCCTGAGCAAAGGCTGTGCGGTTTTCCTGGGTGGCTACAGCAGAAGAGAAGTATATCGAACCACCCCAACCTCCGATTGCCAGTATGGGACGGACATTCTAGGCAATTTGTGAGCCATGGCCATGAGAGTAGATACAAGATAGCGCATACATAGGACTTCGCAGTTTGCACAAACTTAGGGAGTAAATCTTGGTCAGATTGCTGAAGACCAATTGTGTTGACATCCGGTGTGGTGTATCTGCGGATTGTCATAAAACCCCGCACAAGGGTCACATTATAATACTCACGCGAAAGCATAGATAACCGAGTCGTACTTGGACCAGCTGACACTTGACAGAGGGCAGTCGTTACTATGCCATGAAGCGTACCACGACAAAGCCACTGGGCGGCCTGGATTCGCCCTTTTCAACAACTCAGATTCAACGCTTGAGCGCACAGAGTGGGAACGTTTGCTGTGGATAATCGAACGAGGCAAATGAGAGGCATTGCTCAGCTGAGCATAGAGGATGAAAAGAGCGAAAAGGATCTTCATAAGTCAGGTACAGTAAAAAGGACAGCGACTGGGTCGGGCCATTCAAAAGGGCCATTTAAATACTGTGTCCCGAGGCACATACATGTCAAGTTCAGGGCAGCTAATATGTCATCAGAGGTCAACAACAAACGGAACCGGATACCGAGCCAAAAAAGGATACAATAACGGCTGACCGGTGCTGACCAGCGCTGACCCCGAAAGACGCGTTGAAGTGTAGCTTGATTCACGAGGGAGTGAATTTTTGTGTTCCATACGAGTAACATATCTGAAAACGCACTAGTTCAAGCATTGCAAACCGTCATTTTGTTTTTGGACAAGTTGGACGTGCCGACCGGAGCGGAAGCGGAATGGCCCGAGCTGGAGACACAAATAGGCGCCCAATAAAGCGAATCATCACGCCAGTTCAAGTTGAGAGACAAGCGAAGGAGAGCAAGAAGGCATACCATAGAGACATGCTCAAACCCAAGGTGACCCTTGTCGCCAAAGTTACGCGGCGTCTCGCTGTGGTATCGCATACGATGACTACTGTATATTCTCAATGCGCACAGTACGCCGCTTGTATGTCGTAGTCGCCATCTACATAGTAACCCAGCTCTGTCTTCCACATGAGCTTATAAATCGGACAAGGCGGTGGATACTTACCATTAGACACAACCATATAACTCTCAACGGCGTGTTGTCGTTCGCTATTCGTAGAGTTCATTTACATGGAGATATGTTAATAACATTCCTCACTGATTCGCGTGCCAATTCCGAGTCCTTGTGGACCCTGCAAATCCGGTGCCCTGAAAATAGATTGTCAGTATGAGAGACAGTGAGAACAGCAAATATAACAGACTGCCCGAGTCGCAGGGACACTTTACACACTTCCATTGGGGTGTATGACAAGCCTTTAAAAGGCAGTTCTCTGCCGAAGTCACGGTCACGGTTAGTTTGCCACCTTGTGGACTGGTCAGCGCCTGGATTTTCCGACTCTTTCATTCAGCTGCTTCTCTAGCCATGCAAAGTATCGTACCATCTGACTCGCATGGAATCGTGCTGCTAGTCCCTGTTCCAACCAAACCGACCATAATCAAGCACCGAACCGAAACGTTCTTCGAGCCAAGCCGTGGCAAAACACCTCATGCACAACTTGTTTTCGCGAAAAACACACGACTTGTCCTAAGGCGACTGCGGCAGGTGCGCCTCCGACAGTTAGTTTGCTTGAAGTACCCACCTCCCACCCTTTCTTCGAGTCTCTTTTTTTTAATGTCTACTTCTGATGGCGGTTATACATCCGATGGTGGATATACCTCCGACGGTGACCTAGGCTCAATGTACAGTGTCTATTCTAACCACAAAAGGAGCCGAGTACCATATTTCCCAGGTCGTAGTACCCATTCTACACGACGTCCCGGTACTGCTCGTGAGTACCTTCAGCCTCATAAGACAATGTTGAAGATCCAACCCGGCAGGTGTTCCTCCATAGTCAGTCGCTGGCACACTTCAGTTCCCTGATAACATCCTCTTCAATATATTCACGTTTTACGGTGAAGACGTCTTCTCCGAGCCTGATGGACACAGACCTTGGTGGCTCATGCTAGCACTTGTTTGCCGGAATTGGAATGCCACCATCCGCTCCTCGCGGACTCATTTCCTTCGTGAGCTTCGCTTTGTGAGCGACGGCTCCGCTCAGTAGTGGAATGCTATCTTGTCGGTGTCAGGCATGACTTTCTCATTCTTGTCTCCTCAGTTACGCTTCTGGGAGACGAAGATGAGGAAGTGGTACCAGACACTGACAGGATAACTTTCCAATTTCTCATGAACATCTCATACCGAAGTCGGGATTCCGTTGCAAGCCTGCTCAGGCGGCTCTCATCAATATATCTTTACTATGACCTCCAGTCCTCCCGGAGCGGGACGAGAATGACATCCTGGTTTTACTTCAACATTTGGGGCGAATTTGCTGACTTCGAATACGCGCACCGCTCTCTACCTGGCACTCCATTGCCGCGAAATCGTCGGACCCGCCGCTCAGCTGTACAGCGATAGAGTGCATCAACGTAGAAGGGCAACCGGACTCGTGCTCCCAAGCACATTCCTTGCAGACTACTCGCCGCGTCTGCGCGAGTTGTCGATGATCGGGTTGTTTTTCCCGCTCACCTCACCACATTCGTTCTCGATGACATCCCAGATTTGTCACTCCTTCCTCCAGAAGTGCTGCTTGGGCACCTCGGCAATATGCCTCAGCTACGATATCTCAACGTTCGATTCTTGTCCTCAGTTCCCCATCCGCATAGTGAGGACAGAAGGGGCCCGAGAGCAGCCACTACACGGCTCAATCGCGTTATGCTTTCCAACCTCTACTTCCACGTGTCTGCGCGTAACTAGAAGCTCTCATTACCCAAATGGACACCCCACGCATCCATGATACTTGTTTCACTCTATTCCACCAACCCAGATTCGCTCTTCTCCGCGCCTTTCCGCATGTGTCAGACGATTCGGGGTCGATGGAGTCCAGATCCACTTTTATCCACGCGGCGCACTGATCTCTACCGCTCTCGCCTTGCAACCCTCGGTAGGAGAGAAGTTGGCCATCTAGCTTCCTTGCAGGCGTCTTGACTATCAAAGTTGCGTCTGTAGCGCAGATTTGTAGCGCACTTATACCAAACTTTGCGAACATGGAGGATCTGTTCATCAAACACCACCAAGGTCAGTTGCCGGTGGAGTGGCATGACGAGGTTGACCCCAACCTATGGAGCGAAATCATCGCGCACTTCCATAGTATGAAGACGCTCTGGATATCGAGTGCCCCCATTTCGGGAGTGACGCAGGCAATAAGATCCAGTGCCTAACGATTGGCGTATGGACGTCTTGGTACGCGTGGGAAAAAGGAAAAGTCGGTGATGTCACTGTCATCCATTGCTTATTGAAGTACCTTTGTCACTCTTTCCTCATAGCACCTAGCTAAAATATACTCAATAGATGCATTGTATCGTGCTATTTTTTTTTGCCTTATTCCCAAGTAGTGTGGGTGTCGTGCAACAGACAATCCTCAAGCAATCTTCATCATACGTACTCTGTTGATCATGCAGGACATTGCATTGGTAGTTAACCTTCGGTAGCTCAACTGGAAGAGCATGGGACTATAACAGAACATTTTGATATCTCAAGGTTGCTGGTTCAATTCCAGTCCGAAGGAAATCTTTTTCTCTCTGCCCAATGGAGAGAATCGCGGCGTTTCTACACCGGGCCACCGGCCCGGGTGAAGAAAGTACTGAGGATTCGCAACCCTCAAGGCGAGCTATAAGAAGTCTATTCAACCTACATATGGGGGCCATCAAAGCCCACCTAATCGCTCCGATTGCCCAAACTCTGAGATCCGGACCTTGGTGAGATAGTGAGATATGGCCTTTTGATGCTCTTTTGTCACCTACTCTGCCACCATTCAAGCCAGTCTCGATCAAAACTCGGTAGATGCTCCTTACTGGGCTCTATTCCACTCCCTGATTTTTTGTAGCACATAAGTAGTGTGGTTCAGTGCAATGTGCAATTTTCATTTACTCACATCCTGTTCATAAGACATGTCACTTCAATAGTAGTTAGCCTCTGGTAGCTCAACCGGAAGAGCATGGGACTGTAACAGAATATCTGACATCCCAAGGTCGCTGGTTCAACTCCAGTTCGGAGGAAATGTTTTTCCTATCATTTAGCCACTCTACGCCACGTACTAGTAGTAGCCCATAAGCATTCCCATTCCCATGAGACTGAGGCGGAATTGAAGGGACACTCTGTCACGTGGGTCACTGGTATCAAGATTAAGTTCCCGATCACATGTTAGTGGTCGGAACGCCGGGGGCGAGGTTTTTCATGAGCGCCTCGTACCGGTGTGGGAATTCCGTCACAAGCCTGCTCCTACTCATCGTCAGATGACCACCAAAGTCAGTTGCCGGCGGAGAGTGGCACCCGCAAATTGACACCAAATGTGGAGCGAAGAGATCGCGCGATTCCTCGTTTCGGGAGTGACTATATTGGCCTGCATTGTCAGTGAGGAACATGCTATGCGGAACCTCACAATGGCGAAGTGCCCTGATCGGCTGCCTTTCTCTTGAGTATGCGCGAGCAGCATACTCGTGAAACATGGAGATGTTATTCGGCATGGACCGTGAACTGGATTACAAATTGTTCATCGTATTCTCTCCACAAAGCAGGATTCTAATCTCGCGCCGCTCGCATCGACCTACACTACGCCGCAACGACGTAGCCCCTGCGCATCCCACGTCGCTGTAAACGCGGAGCGACGCTACTGTCACGACTAGTCGTCAGCTCTGGCCACCATGCTCACTGGAGGAAGACAGAGTGTCCAAATAAAGGTACGCACCTCGCGCGTGGCACTGTGCACCAACCCGAATCGACTTTCAAGGCTGGTGAGACCTTCCAGTGGTTGTACGCGGTGGGGGACGATACAGAGTGATTCGAGGACGCTTCCTCGTCCATACCTCATTGAGCTCCGTCGTCGACGGTGACTCGCGCAAACGGATGGGTAGGCGGAACTTGGCTGACATGGCATTCAATTTACTAGATCTCACGCTAGGTCGGTGCTGGCGCTTGGGGAGCGTTGACCACTTGTATCGTCTTCTGCAGAGGGCTGCAATGCTGGGTGGTCATACGCAGACACCCGCACACGTGAAGGGGCAGGTCGGGAAGCATCGATCAATTCGGGCACAGGAAGGTTTTGAACTGGTATTTGGTTGCATATGGTGATGGATCCGGGCAGCTCGCCGGGATCAGGCTGGCTGAGGGAGTTTGGTAAAGACTGCGGCGCTGGTGAAGAGCGACGTGCTAGGGCAGTGATTATGACGTAGGCAACAGAACGTGAAAGAAACTATACTGTATCTCTGCAGCGGCAAGCCAGACCTCGACCGGGTTGCAGGAACACACGCGATAAGCTGAGCATCGAGCCCTATACGGGGTAACATAATCGTCAAAAGCCGATTAGCCGCGTAACAGGAAGGAACTTGGAGCAAGTATGCGCGCCTTGGGGAATCTTAGCGAGGAACCCCTGTTGCTTCTTCGAAGCTGGCGTGGCCTCTACGTCCGTTGTTTCCATCAGTGCTGTCACTGGAGGGGCCTGAATTGGAATATCTTGGGGAAACTGAGAACATGGTAAGGTAGGTGATTATGGGCGGTGATCGATACTTGATTTACCAATGAGCTCGAGACATGCTGCATCTTCTGCGTTGTGGGAGGTGTCGAATGAACTTGGTACTGAGGCAAAATAAATGCACCGTGAAGTGCATTCAAGGAAGGCCCAGAAGCTACGATATCCCTAGAAATATCTGGAGAATTACCGATAGAGACCAGGGTCGGCGATGACCGTGCGGACTGGGACAGAACAGGAGACCGAGAGGTACCGAGTTTTGTGTGACTTCAGAGCAGTTTGAGTCAATTGTGACATTGGAAGTGGCTGCCTTGACGTAGTGGATGAAGCTAGTAGACAAAAGACAAAGCTCACCAGAAACACTGCGGGGCTGATTGGTCCCGACGACCACTTTTGGCAGGCACCGGGGTTTATTGGGCGATGTCCACTTGCTGAAACGACCGAGGCAGAGTCAATGAGGTCCGGCCTTCTGGGATAATTTTCACGTTTTTTTGTGCCGCTAGAAAGAGCATGAACGTCACGAGGCCTGAGTCCAGAAGTTGTATCTGAAGCAGGTTGCTGAGCCTGCTTGTTCAAGAAGTCGACAATTTTTCCTTGAGACCGCTTCTGGTCGCATTTTTTTATACTTTTCTCGAGCGTGCTTGCGTCATTACTTTGCTGAGGTGTGAGGCTAGATGTTAGGAAGCGACAGAGGGGCATATATGCGCATTCAGACGACGCAAAACAGTCACAAGATGTTCTCGGAAACAAAGCGCGTACTTCTGAGCTAACCGCGACGCAGCATTTATTTTTGCTATGGACCAAGGGTTTGACTTGAACACCGCCGTATCAATATCTTCGCTTAATGGTTGGTCAACTAGGGTAGAGCCGTCTGAGCAGAGATTGTCTGGTAGAGCATCATCGGAGTCTGAGTCTGAGAACTCTAGAGGATTATAAGAGCGAAGGTTGAAGGACCAGTCAGAATCGTCCTTCTTAGGCATTACATGTAGTAGGTAGAGAAGCGGGCTAGAGCCAGAGCCAGACCCGCCACGGCTGGGCCATGTGGCGCCTACATCACGTGATGCACATAATCCCACGTGCGATCCGTGTATTGGCCCATCATCGGGTGTATTAACTTGTAACCAAATTCTCGAAACGTTTCTCAGAATTGTGAGAATTGTTTGTAGTCATGGCCTTTTTAGTTGGCAGAAATGTGCACCCGTGATGAATAAATGGTATCCCGCTCTGAGCACTGCGTCATACTTTCCATTGCTATATAAGCATAAGCTATCGAGGAACGAATGGTCACCCGTATCCTCTCACCCCACTCTACGTCATGTCTGGAAGGCTTGCATCCGGTACATACTTATCGCTCTCAATCGATGCATTTCTGATAGTACATCTCTCTAGAGTATCCCTCTTGGAAGAAGCTTCAGGAACTTTACGATAACGAACGTACAACGCTCAACCTCAAAGAACTTTTCGCTTCCGATCCTTCGCGATTCTCGAAATATTCCAAGGAATATGTTGCCTCGTCCAGTCCCACCAACACTTTCCTCCTCGACTATTCCAAGAACTTGATTACGGAACCCATTCTCAACACGCTTTTCGACCTGGTTCGTGAAGCACGTGTCGAAGAGTACCGTGATAAGATGTTCGCTGGAGAGCATATCAATACCTCTGAGGATCGCGCCGTCCTTCATGTCGCACTTCGAGATTTTGGGAAATACAAAATTCCCGAGCCTGGTGTCGACGAGGTCCCGTCGGTCTTGAATCACATTCGGGAATTCACTGAAGCCGTGCGAAACGGCGTCTGGAAGGGATACACTGGCAAGTCGATCACCACCATCGTCAATATCGGCATCGGGGGCTCCGATCTGGGGCCCGTCATGGTTACGGAAGCGCTTAGACACTATGCCCACGATGACCTTACGGCATATTTTGTATCCAATATCGATGGAACCCACATTGTCGAGACGCTGCGCAAGGTTGATGCCGAGACGACGCTTTTCATCATCGCGAGTAAGACGTTCACGACCCAGGAGACGATCACCAATGCAGAGTCGGCGCGTGAATGGTTCCTTTCGTCAGCATTTGAACGACGTCATATTGCGAAGCATTTCGTCGCTCTTTCTACCAACGAGAAGGCAGTCACTCAATTTGGTATTGCCAAGGAAAACATGTTTGGTTTCTGGGACTGGGTCGGCGGGCGCTACTCGCTCTGGAGCGCTATCGGCTTGTCGATCGCGCTGATCATTGGCTACGACCGATTCGAAGAGCTTCTGATGGGTGCCCATGACATGGACACGCACTTCAGAGAGACGCCGCTGGAGGGCAACCTTCCTGTGATTTTGGCCGTGATCGGGATTTGGTACAATAACTTCTATGGTAATTTCCTTCCCTTCTGTGTGGACTGAGGCACATTGAAACCCACCCCATCGATTAGGCGCGCAGACCCATGCGCTACTTCCTTACGACCAGTACCTGCACAAGTTTGCGGATTACTTCCAGCAGGCAAGTGGTTAATCATTATGTAAATCTCGATCCCTTGTAATCTTTTTTTTTTGATCAGGGCGACATGGAATCGAATGGAAAGTTTGTGACCAAAGGTGGACAACGTGTCAATTACCAAACTGGGGTACGAGTTTTCTCTATTCGGCATGGGCAGCTACTTATACAGCAATTGGTCTGTAGCCGATCATCTGGGGTGCTGCCGGAACCAATGGGCAACACTCATTCTACCAGCTCTTGCACCAAGGCACCAAGGTGGTTCCCGCAGACTTCCTCGCCGCCGCAACGTCGCACAACTCGTTGCGTGCCTCTCTCCACCACCGCATTCTACTCTCCAACTTCTTTGCGCAGCCCGAGGCGCTCGCATTCGGCAAAACCGAGGAACAAGTCCGCAGCGAAGTCGGCACCAACGCAACCGAGGCGCTCATCAAGAGCAAGGTCTTTGAGGGTAATCGCCCCAGCAACAGCATCATCTTCCCACTCCTCACACCCGCGACACTCGGCTCCTTGATCGCTTTGTACGAGCACAAGATCTTCACGCAGGGTGTTATTTGGGGCATCAACTCCTATGGTGGGGGGATATAGTAGTCGTCATTCTATTAAAAACGTCCGCTGACCACATGTCCCAGACCAAATGGGTGTCGAGCTCGGCAAGGTGCTCGCGAAGAACATCTTCTTACAACTCGATAGGCCGAAGGACGTCAAAGGCCACGACAGCTCGGTAAGTGATTTACGCTGCTCCCAGGGACACATAGATGATGATGACACATTGCATTGGGATATAGACGACTGGCCTCATCCATTACTACCAGAAACACAGGAAGGAATGATGATTTCGTATACCGAAAGCCGTCGGGTATACGTGAAGTAAAAGAATAGAGAATTCTTGTACGAGAAGATGATATGAGAGGTGGAGTCCTGGATAGAACCTGTTGTACTACTACGTGTGTGTGCTTTGTGATTCGAAAACTAACGTGAATAGGACATGTATTGAATCAGAACCTTCTTCGTTCCAAGCTGCCTCAACTTTCATTCTATGCA